AAGAGGGAAAGAGAGAGAGAGGGAAGGAAAGAAAGAGGGAAAGAGAGAGAGAGGGAAGGAAAGAAAGAGGGAAAGAGAGAGAGAGGGAAGGAAAGAACTAGCACAGAGCCAACATTTAATACAAGCTTCCATGGCAACCGCAGCTCTGGTTATGTTTTTGTGTGTGTTATGCCACGGCTCAGCTCACACCCTTGGTGTTTGGAAAATGGGTTGCTTAAGCACTGTGGGGCCAAGTTACTGTTGCTTGGGAACTGTCAGTGTTGACTTGCCAAGCTCTAAAACATAGCTGAGAGCACTGTGCCATAGTGTTAGTGCAGTCAGGGGTACTTTGTGTATAGGCAATGTGGGATTTTTAATAATGTAGGAATTTAGCATAAGTGCTTCTTATAAAACCTATTTTCTGAGGTCTCAAATTCAGCAGTAAAGATTCTGGTTTAGGCTTAAATAAATGGGAAAAAGAGACCTCAGGAAAACTGCATTATCTTTGTTTTGGGACAGTATTTTTCTTTTTAGAGGGTTTACTTTAGGATAGGGAGCTCAAGGTTTGAATTGGTCTCCATTTCCTCATGTGTGTTCAGTAAAGAAGTATCATACTGAAGGCAAACCTAGTGTGACAGCAGCAGTGCCGAGGTCTGAGCTTTGAAAGGACTCATTTGCAAGCAGTGATTCCTTGTGCTTTTTTAATAATACTGCAAAACCAGCCTGGCAGCTGCTCTTCACACATGAAATTGAGAAACGCACAGATGCTGCTGTGGGATTTTAAAATTTGCATTCCCATTTCTGGTAAACAGCTGTACTTAAGATTCAGCTGTGAATCTTCCCATACTGCTTGTTCATACCTGGGAACTGGTGTCCTCAGCTGATCCTTGCCTACAGACTCCCAAGTGGAGTGGCCGTTTCTTGGATCAGGGGTGCAATGCTCGGAAGTCAGCTGCAGAGCTTGGTGCTGTGTCTGAGCTTCAGGCATTGCTGCTCTCTCCATCCTGCTGTGTTCTTTCCTGAGACTTATTGTCCATAAGCTTCCCAGTGCCTGGAGAGCTTTCTGTGGGATCTCTGCTTTTCCTCTCATCTGTGCGCAGCTCTGGATGGTCATGAAGCTGCTGTTATGTTCCCAAAGAGACTGGGCTTCTTACTGTGTTTTTTCCGTCATACAGCCCTGGTACTTCTTTGCTCTTCAGATGGGAGGTGGGTTTTCCTTAGCTTGACTGTCCCAGGCTGTGTACATTGCTGCTCCCTAAAATATATATGAGCCTTTCCCCATTAAGGCTGTTGTCACATCAGCAGGGCTGATGGATAGCTTTGTTTATCATTGTTTTCTCCCTTTTGCTGGTAGGAATTTTGTGGCATTTGAAGTTTTGAGAGAAGAGGAGTTCTCTCCACTAAAAAACGCAGACACAGCTGACAAAGACACTCCTATCACTGCTCGGCAAGCCCTCCTGGCCCAGCATTACCGCTGGGCTCTCAAGGCTGGGGCCAGATTTCTGGATGAAAATGGTTGCAGGATACCGGAGAAACTTGGGTAGGAACCTCAGTGACCTTCTCCACAGTGTCTCTGCCTGTGACTGCCCAGCTGTGCCAGCTGGCTAATGGCATGTACTGTGCTCTACAAAACCGGGCATTACTTTGATCCCAGGGTGACTTGGCATGATTTTTGTTCAGCTGGTCTTTTCTGAACCTGCCATGTAATGTCTTTTACAGCTCCTGCTCCATTAGTGATTGTGAGTGCTCTAGACAGTAATGCACTGTGATCTGGGCTTTATATCTGCCAGAGATTCCTGCTCCTCCTATAGGAGCTTGTTAGGCAGGGATAACCTTTTCCATCATTCTGGATTTAGCCAGCCCAACGAATTGTAATTTGTAGTCCTCACCAGTTTTTGTGAACATGGCCCCAGCCCTTAAAGCCCATCAAAATTCTCCAGTGGGCTTAAGGATCAGCTATTACTGCAATTACCAATTCAGATACTTCCTGAATCAAGCTGAATGGGAAGCTGGTTTTACTCTGTAGGATAATTACTTCACCAACTCATAGTTTAATAAACCCACAAGCTGTTCATTTTACTTGAGAAGCACCTCTATAAAAGCATGTTCTTGTTTTGATGAGAAATATTTGGGACCTGCTAATTCTCTTTTATTTTCACACTTTGTGTTTGAATAATGTCTGATGCATGTGAAAACAGATGTCTTATCCTTCTGGATATGCTATTCTTGATGATCTTTTGACAAAGATGCACTGTTTTTTTAAGGTAGCAAGAAGCTAATCCTGTGTTCTCTTTTCTAGTCTCTCAGGAACTGAAGATCCTCCGGCTGTCTGTGAGATTTCTCCATTAGTGTCTTACTTTGGAGAGGTGAGAATAACTATCTATGGAGGTATTTTTAAGAGTGTGCAGGTATGCATCTGATTTCTTTCCAAACACAGGGGATTTCTTTAGCCTGGTCTTGCTGAGAAATGGTAAGATCAAGGGAACTAGGACTTGGGCTCTGTTACATTTGTGGTTCCACTATGGATTACTCTTCAGCAGTTTCTTCACCGTTGGTTTTAGCCATCAGTAAAATGAGACTTGCAGTGGGGCTGGGTAATTTCATTAAGACTCACAAATACTTTTGAGATCTTCTGAATGAAAAGTGCAGAATATTCGAAGTACATAATCCATGGGTTCACTGTATTCGATTGTATGCTGATTTGTGCCCCTCTCCCACAGTGAGTGAATACTGAATGATGCGTGTGAAGTTCTTTAGAGAACTTCTCTAAAGCATTGGCTTTAGAGAAACCACATCTTAGATTTCTTGTTTGTCCCTCTGAAAAGAACTGGTCCTAGGAAAGCTGCTTCTATTTGGAAGTGAGAAGAGGAGCTTCTCTGTGTTGGACAGTGTCAGAAATAGTGGCTTGCAGGAGGATGTGTGGGCAGTGTGGGGAAGGGCATTCAGAAAACTTCACATCTTCACTAAGTTTCTGTGTGCAGGTAGCAAACTCATTGCAATCAATGTGTTGTAAGAACAAAATGAAAACAAGGCAATTTGAATTGACTTTTTTTTGCTATAATTGTTCTAATGTGAGTTAAGGACACACCTTCCCATGCCTGCCCCTCCCAAGGATGTTTGCTTCTGAGATCCATTGTTTTATGGTTCATTGGTACTTCCTCTTCATGAACCCTGGACTTGGGACTGAAACACCTTCCATCTCTGTCACTGGGGAAACTATTGTTGTCTGTCCTTCCCGTGACCTTTTAGCTGTGGGTAGTTGGTTGTTCTTTGAGGACATTATGTAGACTTAAAAATAGTGCAGGTAGCCAGTTGGATGCATTTACAACCTAACAGTACTGTTTTCACACATTCTCAGGGTCTGGACATGTACATGAAGAACAAAGACTTCCCTTCTCCCTTTGTACTCGAGGAAAACAAAGCAGAAATGCTAGGAAATTCTTGAAGAGAGGCCTTTCCCCCTCAGATCAGTTATATGTTGGTCAGATCCATTACAAAAACTGACATTGCTGAGATGTCAGCTATGAAGTATGTTATTAAAAAAATTGCTTTGCAGTATCAGATTGATGCCAGATCCTTGCAGCAGTTGTGTTTACACACACATCTGTGCTCACCAGCTCTGTTTGGTAACTTAGAAGGCTATTGCCTTTTACCTCAGCCTGTTTTGTAGACTTGGATGCGAATGAAGATTAATACCTTCTGGGTGCTAAACATATTTTATATTTCTTATTTGCTGTGCATATGAATGTGTAAAAGAGCCAGTCAGGGCTTAATAAATCAGCTTTGCATTTAAGAAGACTAAATGTATTCAGTGCCTTGTTAGGTATCTTGTTTGTGCTGGTGGGGTTGGGGTGTTTGGTTTTTAAATTGTACGCACAGTTGATTCAGTCTGATCCATTTTTTCCCTAATCCTGTGCTGGTTAGAAGATCTAATTCAGCAACTGCATCATCTAACCAGATTATACAGAGGAGTCTGCTGTAGGTAGGGTTGCTACTCTGCGTAAGGGTTGCTTGAGGTTTGTAGTTGAGGCATAACAGACTATTTTGCATATCTAGGTTTGCTGGTGCCATTCCAAGAAAACATAAGTAAATAGATAGCTTAGACTGATTGAGTTTTACAGCTGTAGTGACCTGTTTTTCTTAATTAAAAAAAAATTTTAAAATGAGAAATTTTTTCACAACCCTCTTCTCTTCCTGTCTGTAACATTTATTTTACTTTTCATTTTTCTGTTTAATATATACCATATGTCTCAAAGGGGACTCTTTTAAAGTATCTGAAAGTAATAAGAGGAACAAATTCTGATGGTAGAATTTAATGCTTAACCAAACCCAGAAAAAGCCTTAATCCCAGCATAACCAGTATACACAGTAGAACACCAGCCTCTGTTCTACAGTTTCTTGCCAGGTAGTTTTCCAGCACTCTTTCACTTAGTAAATAATTTTTTAGATGCCTTCTTTTTAAATATATTTCTAACCATAACAATGTGTCAGCTAATTAAGGATGCTAGTTGCCAGAACATACGTAGCATGTGAACTCAGCCCTGGCTGTGATCCACAAGTGATTGTTCCTGTTCAACCTTTGGATGCTGCCCCAGCAAGCTCGTGCCAGGTGGGACCTGCCTGCTTCAGAACCTGCACTGAATGCACCAGTCATTTCAGCCTTTGTGAGGATGCTTCAGGTGCACTGCTGGGTGGCCTTTGCTTGAGGAGCACTCTCTACTTTTTCCCTAAATCAGTTGTTAAGGAAGGTGGTGAGGAAGGTGCCTCATCTGGCACGTTGCTATTTCATGCAGCTGCTACTGAGGAAGTGCTGATGCTATTTTGTTAAGCATACATCTTTTGAATGACTTACATGGCTTTCTGTAATTCCTGACGTGAAGCTGTATTCAGAATGTTGGGGAAGTATAAAAATGGCTTTGAGAATAAATATAATTTGTAAGTAGGCTCATGTTTTCCAAAGAAAGCATTGAAATGTCAGTGGCAGAGTTTTCAGGTACAAAGTGTATCTTCATGCACGTTAAGTAATGAGCCTCTTGCACATGCAAACCAGATAACGACAGATAATGTTGATTATTCAGTTTGCATGTGCAGCCAGTAATTCCCATTTTTTTAAGCATTTGTCCTTGACACTCAATTCTGTAATGTTTTTGGCACAGTGTTTCTGTGGGCCATTCCATTCCTGTCAGTCATGTTTTATATCTGAGAACAAATTGTGTTGTATCTTTGTGGATATTTGCTTGTCGACTCATGCACACTCTTTTTTAGATTGCACTGTGCTATGAAGAAAATACGTTTCTTGTGCTCTTTCTAAAGTGCTTTTTCTTTTGAAACTTCAGTTCCCATGGGCTTTTATCATGTGTACACTGAGCTGCTGACATGATTTCTAGAGGTTGTTTTCAAAGAGAAGCTGAATTAGAGTGGTGAATGCCTTGTCTGTTGGGTTGTTTTTTGACTCCTCACATTTTAATCCAGAATATAGAATGAGTTTTGGGAGAACTTTAAAAAAAGATAAAATCTGTCCTGTATGTAACAAAGTAGTTCTAATATGTGTTATGGGATGAAAAATATCTCAAAGGGATGTCCCATAGTACTCCAGAAACTTCTGGACACCGAAGCATTTTTATAATAAAGATGTTACTGTGATTTCTATGTGTGTTTCTGTTTCTTGTCCATGAGGAAAAATGCACTTGTTGTCTTTGTCCCTACACGTCATGGGTGTTGGACACTGAGACAGTGTCATGGCACGGCTGGAGGATGTGGTGCCCATGCTTCAGATGTACAGGATGTGGAACTCAGCAGAGGGTGATTCCTGAAGGAGTTTGACATGGTGGGATGTAATTTTTTCATCAGAAAACAGAAGACTCTGTTCTTGCCTGCAATCCTGTTTTAATTTTTTTCCAAGTTTTTCAACTCTGTTTACTGAGAGAAGGGAGTTTAATTGTAGGTGGAATTTGTTTTATTTAAAGTAATTTGAGTGATAAGGATCTGAGTCAGGCTTTCACAGCTGTTGTGTAGGTAATGAGCACTCACTGTAATGCAACTTTTATTTGGCTTCCCATTGACAGGCTCTTTTTAAACAGGGCTCTATTTATAGAACAAGCAGTAGGGGAAATTAGTGATTTTTCACAAATAACAGATTGTGCTCTTTTGGGGGTTTAGTGCTGAACCCAGCAAAGGTCAGAAGTAGATATTCTTCCTTCCCTACCTTATTTCACCCCATGTTTCTCTCTTGGCACCCATGTGAAAGCTGCTGGGGGTTTTGATGTGTTTTTAAGGTACATAAATAAGTAGTTTCCTGTGATAAGAAAATAAATATTAAAAATGAATGCATGCTTGAGGCTTCTGTTAAATTGTTCCTCTGCTTTAAGTGGAGTGTTCATATCCACCAGAATTGTTTGCTTAGTTTTTAATCACAGAATGCTCAGAAAAACACCGAATTTTCAGTTTTATCTGGAAATCTAGTGTGAGGTGGATTCCAAATGTAAAGGCTCAAATGATGCATGTTAACTGAACAGTCTGACACAAGTGAAGGTCAGTTCAATGCCAGCACTTAAAGCTGTAGTCTTAAAGCAGCTGCTTCAGTGCTTTCTTTTTCATTTTGAACTAAACCTGGTCTAGAAGTAATGGTTATTACAAAGCCAGTTATGTTGTGGCTCTGAATGTGTACCTTACTGAACAGTGCTCTTTTCTATTCCTCTAACCCCACTGATTTTCCCCCCCTCCTCTGCAGTGAAGCTGCAGATAACTTTGCACAAGGAGTGATGAAGGGCTTGCGTCTGGAGAAGCAGGTGAGGGAAGGAGTTGTGTGGGAAAAGTGGATCCTGCTGAGCACCAAAATTCACTCCCAGATCTTGCAGAAGGGTTTACACAACTGCTTAAGTTGCTTTTCACCTACTCTCACACATCCTCTCACAGATTTCAGTTGTCTCCTTTCAGGAAGGTGTTCCTGTGTTGTCTGCCCAGGACTCTGTGTGTGTGATGCAAAGGACAGGGGCTGCCAGCTGACAAATGGCTGTCTCTGGGGTTCTCCCTGGAAGGCAATAACATTAGACAGCTTTCTCAGTCCTCTGGGAGTCAACAGGTGTTTGGGGTTTTCCTTTGCTGTGCTCACCTACCGGGTGGACTGGCAGGAGGAGTATCAGTGTCTGGTGCATCCTCCTGTTGGGGCACAGTGTCTGCTGCGTGGCTGGGGCCGTGTCCTTACCCTGTGTGGTTCTCCCAAGCTGCGTGGGAGCTGCTCCCTCCCGAGCTCGACTGATGGGAGTGTGCTGGCCCTTCTGCTCATTGAGTTGTTTTTCCTGATGACCTCCTACATGCGCATTTCCATTTATGTTTCTTGCATGCCCATATTTCTGTGACTGGTTATTATAATCTCACAACCTAGGAAAAGCCTCTCCTTATGTCTCATTTCCTGCTCGGGCAGCTGAAGTCCTGGTACAGCTGTGTAGAGAGAGCAGGTATAGCGAGGGGGAAGAGGCAACCACCACCAGCCCTCTGCCAGAAAGAGGCGCCGGTGCCAGGCTGACCGGTGGCATGGCTCGGATTCGGAACAAGCCCACGCCAAGAGCTGCGTCCTCCCGTGGCACGCTCGGCGCTTGTCGCAGGTGGGCGGTGCGCGGCCCCCGCGGCCTCAGCGCTGCGTAAGGCAGCGAGGGCCCCGGCTGCGGCCCCGCTGCCCGCAGCGAGGAG